GACTGGTGAATAGTGATCATTCATCCCCATAGTGGCAAATTTCAGCATGATCTTAAAAGACAGGACTAGATTATAAAATAGTCACATGTAGATTATATAACAGATACTTATTCCATTACATGTAAGCTTACTTGCAAAGTAACATAAAATGGGCATTGGATAACAGTGATTAAAAAATGTAAACAAAAAGAATTAAATGTTAATCCCTTCCCTGAAAAACAAAAGATAAAAGCATTTCTTGTTTTATTAAAACAAAATATGATCTATTGTATCAAAAGGTAAGACACAGATTTTACAAAACTGTATTTCCAAATACAGATGAAGGAAATCTGGAACAGCTGATTCAGACTTTACTGAGCTAAAATATGCAAAGGATCCAATAATACTTTCAACATAGTGTTTATTTTCTGAGCTTACTATTTATTGAACCATTATTGAACTAACAACAACAACAAAGGTCTATATTGTAAGAAAAAAACAAGTAAAAATTTAAATTTTTTGTTAATTATGACTTGAAACTTGATTCTGACCCAAACAAATGAACAAAAACCCTATAGCCAACACCCACTAAGGTTGCAGAGAAAAAAACATGAAGGTTTTGTTTGTTTGTTTGTTTTTTGGGGGGGTGGTACCAGGGATCGAACTCAGGACCTTGAGCTTGCGAGGCAGGCACAGCACCACTGAGCTACATCCCTGGCCCACCATCCACCTTTTTGAAGCCTCTGAGAAAAAGGTATTACATGGTTTATGACACTTTTCACAACATAGTAAATATAAATTCCAATTCTCCAATAAAGAATTTAAAAGAAAAGTATTTTGTTCCTTGAAAATAATTTCCTCTCTTCTTCTGACCCTGCTAAGCGTATTAGTGCCCTTAACATCAGGGTATTTGTTGTTGTTGTTGTTATTGATTTCAATTATATTTTTCACATAGTATTTTGAAATAAACAGATAAATGGAAATTAAAGGGAAATTTGCTTTAGGAATGCAATGATTCTAAATCATTTCACTAAAAAGCACCTTTTGATATGCTGGTCTGAACTTTTAAATATAATATCTAAACTACTTATTTCTGAAGTAGGATTTTCTCCAGTTTTAGTAACTTCATTCATACACACCAATATTAAGGACATCAACCTGTGCTTTCTAGATTTTTGAAGGTGTTTAATAATATAATAGATTGGATATGGCTCATTGTCAAGGTTGGGTGGACAGAGATTTCATGATAAATTGGCTACAGAAAGCTAAATAAACTCTTACGGTGAATAATGTTTTGTTTTGCTTGAGCCAAATAGATGTTGAAGCCATGTACCACCACAGTCCCTGCTTAACATTCCTGTTTCTT